TCATTGAAAGGCGGTGGACGCTTATCCCACATGACATCCAACTTCAAACTTCGCAAGACGTAACTCTTTTCCTCGTCCTTCTCCCTCTCGCATTTGCCCCTGCGCTCGTTCACATCGAGTTCGAGAACAAGTTCAGCAAGGCTTGTCCACACAATCAATGAGAATCGCGTCTCTGGGACCAGTAGCGCTGCAGGGATATCAGAAATGCTGACGGTGGTGTGCGTGTATTCTCTCCACAGCGGGTTTGTCCCTTTAAATAGCTTCCCATAATCGTTTCGGTAATGCCTAAAAGTCTAGTTCTGCGAGATATGCTGGATAACCAAGCTGTCGCGGCCGTTTTCGTCGCTTGCCGCTCTCACATCGTTTCTTGCAATGTGATAGAACTCTAGGCTCGCGTGCTCGCTATCGAGGTTGCCGAACACCTCGTGGGAGTACACTTGCCCCACCCAACCCACCCATGCCCAGCTAAGGAAGCAGGCTTCCGCTGTCTTGCTTTGGCTTCCGCCGCCGCCGCCGCCGCTATCTTCACCATCCCTTCTCATACCGGAACGCCGACCCGACACCGCTCCGTCCGTCGGCGCGGCCTCATCCGGCAGCACGGCCACGCTAACGCAACTCCAAGAAACGTCTTTGGCAGACCCCACAAGCTTCATGTCGCTACGGATCGAGCGCTGGCTTACCTCCAGAGCACTGCGACTTCGCCCTACAGCTCAGGGGTGGCGATAGCTTTGAAACATGAAGTGATGCGAGCTTTGCTGATAACTCCCTAGACCACAAGAGCTCCCAGGCCTGTGTTATGAAGCTATTTGGCGGTGTATTTAGTTGGAGTAACAAGCAAGATACTGTCACCACTTCCACCACTGAAGCGGAGCTCCTTGCGCTCGCCCAAGCCGCAAAGGAAGCACTCTTCGCTAGCCGCTTGATCGCAGAGCTTGGGATCTTTCTGGATGAGCAGAAGATTAAGCTCTGGTGCGATAATCAACAGACGATTGGGCTTATAACTAAAGAAATCCAGACGCTCCAGGCCAAGCTGAAGCATGTGGATATCCATAACCACTGGCTGCACCAGGCATTTGAGCGCAACACCATCGACGTTGTTGATCTGGATGAAGCAGAGCCTGCCGTGGATGCCGTCATTGGCGTAGCCGGTGTAATCATCGATGCTCTCCCCTTCCTCGGGCAGACGCTTTGGCCACAGGCCTGCGATCTCAACGCGCGATGTCGAGAGGTCTAGGCGGCCCGGGAACCGAATTTTTGCGTTGCCCATTGCATGAACGCAGACCATATCTTGCCGCATAGAAGGCAGGCGCTGGCGTCTTCTTGGACATCGGTCAGTCGGCGATAGGGTAGATCGTCCAGCAAGGCCCCAGCGTATTTAGACAGGTCACCAGGACTCTGCGTTTGGGTCTCGCCGTCGTCTTGGGTAGCGACAGTCGAGTCGGGAGAATGCTTCGCAGCACCACTTTCATCTTCAGACAAGGAATTGCCATCGCCATCACCTGGCTCGCCTTTGTTTTGCTGTTTGAGCAAGTCTCTGAGCTCTTGTAGCCAGGCGTCCTGTCGACGAGACCGGAGCTTCGCATCAGAACTTGGCTCAAGATACCCTACCCCTTGTATGCCGCCATTAGCTTTTCCACACGTCACACCACGAGCAGAAGCTCCATCTCGTGGCCGCATCAAACTCTACCTCCGGTGGTGGTATTTGCACCGCTGACGGTCGGCTTCTCTAGGATTAGTTCGGAATCATTGGTGAAGATCGGACAGATTGACTTGGGTATGGGAGGAGAGGGAGTTTTATGCATTCTGCTTTCCTGGATGGGATGGGTGTGAATGTGAAGGCTCCCGGTTGTGTAGGAAGGGTTCCTCAGTGTGAGACCTCGTGGCGTACTCTATATGCTAGTTTAACCAGTTCATCATGTATCCCTTACCGCCGATAATTCTATCGTCCTCCCTTCGGCCCATTCGAGAACTCTATGACGCGGCGCAGCATTTTAGCGATGGCCTTAGAAATCGCCGGGGGCTGTGCGGCGAGTACGTCCTTCGGGGGGTCCGTAAAAGAGAAAATCGTCCTTGAAACCCTGTATTCTCGCCAGCTCCTTGACCGTGAGTAAGTCTCCTCGCCCTAGGAACACGTTTGCCCTGTTAGTGTTTTCCTTCTGGCTGGGGGATGCGGAAACCGACCTTTATGCACCAGCCGTCTAGAGCTATGGCAGGAAAGAGACACGACGTTTGGACCGATGTCGACGACAACACAGTCTCTTGTGTTGGGTAAAACGGTTCGGCCTGTGTTATGGCTGTAGAGGTTCTTCCGTGTGAAATCGGCCTCTTCAATTGCATATGCAGAGCTGTCGTGGTACTCTAGGGAAGAACTTGTGTGCAGCCTTTTTGAAGCCTCTGCAAAAGTCACTCAGGATAACAGATGGGCCCCGGATATTATGGGCGGTTTGTAGATCCTTGAGGCAATTCAAGCGCCAGGCAAAATCTTCTTCTTCCTCCCCACCAGTCAGGCCGAAGGCCACGTTGAAGTTGGCATGCATACTGCTGACAGTGACATTGAGTAACGGCATGTTGAAGCGATTGACCTGTTGTAAATAGGTTAGTTGAATGGTGCCAAATAGTAACGATAAAAGGCTGACCTTGTAGGTGTTGTCAATAACCAACATAGATTCTTCCACATCTCCAGGCACCAAGGAAAAGTCCAAAAAACGCGGCGCAATCTTTTTCCAGGAGGATCAATTAAGATCATTTAGTTGAAATTATAAAAATACTCCTCGTTAGCGCTCGCCAAAACAGCCAGCGCAAAGTCCACCAACAAGACCACCCCCCCCCACAGACCCCGCCGCAATCCCGAACTCGAGCTTCTAGCCCCAACCTATCACTTCGTCAGCCATAGATCATACCTTAACACTCAAAGAGATAACGATGACTTACCGACGATAGAAAATACCACCGCAAAAAAAGCCGACCAACCCACAACCGCCCGCCGAGACCCCAACCACCTTGGCCCGGCGGCGGCGAGCACCCCCCCTATCCGTCCCCCCTCCAAGTCAACCCTCTCCCTAATATTCAATTTAGTCAGCACACGATCTCCAAGACATCAGGTTAGAGCCAGGTTATCATTAGACTCACAAAGCAGCGAGGTTGGGCGGGGGCGAGGGACAGAGGTGGGTGTCCCCGCATAGGCACCGCACCCGATTGTAGGTGGTGGTGGTGACGGCGGCGGTGGGGCGGGAGGTGCTAGGGGTCTCAGGGAGGGTGTCGGGAGTGGTGGTGCCGGCCATGACGAAACGTTATTTTTTCAATAATGAAAAAAGAGTCTTTTTATGTGATCAAACTTTTTAGACTCCAAAAAACAATGAGAGTCTGAAGAGAGAAATCCGGAATTTTGGGGGGAGGGGGGGGAGAATTGGGATTTGAATCGACGACCCTGTGTCCAGACCGCCTGCCTTCTGACTTGAATATTTCAATGTCCGTCATGTAGTTCCCGCCTGTCTTGCAGGCCTTTTCACGTCCCCAGTACCTTCCGCGTCACGCTCTCAAGAAACCCCAGTCAGAGTTCGTCAGAGGAAGTCACGTCTCAAACGGGTTTGGAATGACCCCATATCCATTTTTTTGGCACGAGCATGGGCGGGTAACTATCAAGCGCCAGCCATCGCTTTGATCTGACGAAGAACACAGCTTTATTATTGCCGTGATGCTCAAGCGCATGAAGATGGACATCACGGAGTGCATCAAGTACTACAACAATTTCATGAAGGTTGTCTTTCTCGAGCAGGGCTATTGGGGGAAGAAGGGCCAAGCGATTAAGGCCGCATGGGGCGGCGAGAAGTGGGATGCTGCTCCGATGGAGAAGGTCATCAAGGATCTCATCCGGGAGAAGATTGGCGACCCTGACAAGCGCTCTATGACCCCAAGAAGCAGGACCCCAGTTCAGGATGCAGGGTGTAAGTGAAGCCTTGGTGCTACCAATGGGCACTGCTAATCTCTGAACATGCACAGCTTCCTGATGGCCGTCAACAAAGATGGGGCAAACAACCACGCGCCAGTAACGCTTCCTCGACGGCGGACTGCAGGCCAACAACCCTCTCGCCTAGTGTGTTTTCCATTTCATGCATTCTTCCCCCAAGTTTCACTGAGCTGATGCATGCATAGGCTTTGGAACGAGACTCTGGCCGTCTTTGGCCCGACCCGCCCCGTCAACTTCTTCCTGAGCATCGGAACAGGCACGGCAAAGAGCGAGGCGCTGCCCGACGCCACGGCCTCCAACTTCATTGGCCTGGCCACAGGAATTGCCAGCATCGCCATCAACACCGAGATGGTCAACATCCTGTTCCGGTCCCTCATCAACGCCTTCTCGCCCAAGCCGACCGAGAAGAAGTACTGGCGGTTCAAAATTGGTGATGGATGCCCCGATTACGTGCTGCAGGAAGACGGCACCTACAAGTGGGTGTACCTTGAGAAAAGGGAGGAAATGTCGCTCGGCGAGCTGGATGATGTTGCTGCCATGGACAACACTATCAAGGCTACCCAGGCTTACATCAAGCTGGAGGGGGCTTCCCTCATGATCAAGGAGTGCGCGGTATCCCTGGCCGCCGTTGTGTGATCCTGTATTTACCATAGCTTTTATACACTTTGCATCTGAACACCAAGCACATCTCTCCATGACCCTTTGTGCTAGTTTTCATGTAGATCGCAAACGCATTCAACAATACACCCTCCGGCCGAGGGTACCAAAACCCCTACCTACTTGGCTTCCCACAGTTTGACACCAGTGTCCTTGTGTTCATAACGCACTCCCAACCGACACATTGACATCAGACAACTCTGATCTAGATATCTAAAGTCTTTTCGCGTGCCCTAGCCCTACGTGCCCTGCGTGCCCCGTAGCTTTGGGGTTAACGATCTGCACTGGCTAAATGAAAACTTCCGCCCCTTAACACTAGCGAGTGGTTAACGTCTGATTCGACGCCAGAATTTCAATGAGGCTCACTTGCAACAAAGCCCGCATGGTCTAATGGTTATGACGCTCGCCTCACAAAACACTTGACAGTGGACGCGATAGGTTCCAGGTTCGATCCCTGGTGCGGGCATTTCCTTTTGCTTCGGGTACAAATTAATAGTGGAATTACTCTCCACTCCAACCTCGGCAGTAATTACCGATTCATAGCTTACTATTGAAGCGCCTTTGTCCTTCCGAGATCGCACGGGTCTCGTCTCGTGAGCGAAAGGGATCACAGCAGCGGCATGGTTACTCTACAGCTCGGCAACCGTCCACCTCGCCACAGTCCTTTATACACTCCCAATTGAGCTTTTCACCACCATGGCACGAAGAAAATGCTGGTTTTCGACGATAGTTTGAACAGTTCTCGTCCCAGCACAGAGGCAGCGAAAAGAGACGTGGCGGACGGGGGTATGTCGTAGGATCCATGGCATGGAGCCACCAGTGCGAGGGGCTCAGCTTGCCTTGCTGTGTGCCGTGGCATACCATGATCTCGCGCTCATATGTAGTCACGAGACATACGGATCCGCCCGTCTCCCCGGCCGGATGAACATCCATTGAGATGCGCGTCGTATTTTTTCCCGACATGGGAACCGTAGCCCCCCAGCAAGAATGATTGCTTCCGCCGGTGCACCTGGGCAACCCCGAGTCACTACATTCCCGGAATATGGTACACACGTCCGCGGCCACATCGCCGCCGATGCCGACCGTCTCGCCGCCCGTCTCGTAGTAGAGGCAGCCGCACACGTTGGGGCTGAAGCACGCCATCTCCGGCAGCGGGTCCCACCCGCACGAAGGAAAGAAGCAGCTGGCTGCGCCCCGCCGGTACCGCCGAAAGAGGGACCGCAGGTCCGGGGCGAGCGCCTGCTTGTCCGGCCGTGTCAGCCCGAAGGCGCCGGGGCCGCTGTGGGGGGCCCACTCGAGATGGAGGACGATCCGGTCCCTGGCCCTGCGGAGACGCGCGCGCGGCCAGGTCGGGACGCATCCCGGGGCGCAACGAGGGCTGCCGTGGCTTGGGTCCCGGCACTCGACCAGGAAGTCGTCGAAGCAGCCCTCCCAGCCCCCTGGGCTCCCGCGCTGCTGCCAGTCGGTGATGTGGCGCTCGATGACGTGCCAGTAGAGGGAGACGTGGTCGCACAGCCGGACGCTCCCTTGCCGGCCGAGGCACTGCCGCCGCCTCTTGGACTTCCCCTGCTCCAATGCGGCAAAGGTTGCTTTGTGGTGGTGAGCTCCGCAGCCGCCGCAGTGGAGCTTGGGGCGCCCTAATGGCCCCCCCAACATATCGAAACCGCCCCCAAACTCGCATTCTCTGAAATAGAGGACGCGGACTCGATTTGTATATCTGGGGCGGAATGAGTCCCGGTGGAGTTTGCACTTGGCGCACAACCCGTCTCCCTGAATTCGCGGGATGAACTCCAACTTCCTTTTCAGGTATATTCGCGGATCCGGGTTATCGATTGTGAACTTGAAGGGATCAGACTTCAGGAAATGATTGTCGATAAGCAGCCGGAATCTCCTGGAGACGCGGCGGAGGTATTCGGAGACAAGCTGGTCGCCACTGGCCATGCAGTTGTCAATGACTAGAAGTAAGAGCTCTGTGGGTAACCGATATATGGGACTGTAGTCCCTGTTATAGATCTGGGCCGCGATGAGGGGGTCCATGGTGCGCTCCAACCGCTGTAACACCAGCATCTTTTGGTCCTCTTGTTGTGGGGGTTGTTTCCCCACCTCTTGGCCCCGCCCGCCAAAAGGCAGGCATGTGCCGAGTTTCAAGATGCACCGGATCCGCATCATGTCGAGAGGCATGGTGTCGGGTTTTGTGGCTGGCAGCAAATGTGTTGGGTACAGTGTCTTTTTGACAACAGCATGTTGGTCGGCCAAGTCAGCAGGCACGTAGACGTGGAAGGTCCTGGAAGGTCGATAAGCGCATACACCCTTATTCGACAGAAAGCAAGCGGGTTAGCAGAATAGTGGCAGAAGTCAGACTTGGGCCCAATTGGGAAGGCGGTGTGGGAATGACAGTACAGAGACCTACATGACAGGCTTATTGAGCTTCGCGATCGTGGCCTTGGTGCTGTGGTGTGGGATTTCGAAAGCGGTGCCCCCCTAGCAATTACCCTTATAAAACGCTCGGAAACGAAGTTGCGACTGACTGTTGACGCATTTTCAGCACTCTCGCGCATCAGCGCTGCGAAGGAGTGACACATTAGGCTTGTCTCGTTGTCTCGAATGCAGTGTGTTCAGCCTGCTGAAAACCGTCAGCAAAGCGCCAGCATGGTAGTTAAGAAAGCCTGTGCATGGCCCCTAGCTTCTAAAACTACATCCTCTAGTAAGTAGGTAAGGTACGGAAGAACAAAAAAACATTAAAATTTCAACGGCATTTCGTACTTAAATACCTTTACTAAGTTTACAATTTTACAGTCAATTCTGCCGAAGCCGTGTCACCAACTCCTGGCCCAGAGGTTATTAAGTTTCATGAGTTGCTCAAAATGGAGAAGGTGGTATCAAGAAGACCGACGACTGCTACAGCGCAGCCATTTCCCGTGTCGCCGCGCAAATGTGCTGAAAAGCTGAGGTGGCCTGTCGTTGCGCCAAGTCTGAAGCAAGTTCAAACAACCAATGGTGATGGTTGGCCCATCGTGGGCAGGGTGCATCAAAACCAACCGTTGATCAAAACGGCACATAACACGTGAGTGGCTGCATGAGGAGCCGGAACTCAAAAGGCCTCAGGATCACGACTTTGCAAAGCATGGCGCCCGATGAAAGCGACACCTCCGGTGCTGTGTGCCCTTAGGCTTGACCGTTGACGACACACCAAGATGAGCGCCGGGCAAACTGGAGAGCTCGCCTTCAGCCTTTGCAAGCGAAATGCGCCAACGGCACCTCCGAAAAGGCCGCGAATGCCACGGCCGAAATTCCTTCCATCCATTTGTCTTCCGACCTCTGCGTCCTCGAGCCGTTGGAAACATTTCCGTTGGAAAAATCACGAGGGCCTAACTAGAATGAGAATAGCGCCTCTTTTACCGCTTGAGCCCGCCGGAACGGTGGATGGAACGCAACTGCCGGGAAACCGTTTGCACTGTGGTCTTGTCAGATTAGTCACGTGACACCAGACGCTAAATTGGCGCCCCAACCTACTTTTCCAGCGCGCGGGAGAAGAACACACAACGAATGAAACAAGATTGACCCAATTGATCAAAGTGCTGGTTTCCAACATCAAGCCCAGCTGCCTTGCACATCATTCGCTGGAGTCGGAGCCGCACAGATCAGCATGCATTTCCTGCAAAGTAGTACGGGGGCAATGAATTGACATTTCACAGTATAATGGAGCCCAATAATCTTCTTCCACGAACCACCTCTACAAAAAAACAAATAGTCAAGCTGCTGTGTCGCGGCCCCACCCCCCCCCCCAAAAAAGAAACCTCTCCAAGCTCTCCAAACAGCAGTACGCAAACCCAAACCCCAACCCAAAAAAAGTCAAACTGCCGTGTTGCCACCAAAAGCCTCTCCAACCTCTCCAGAAACAAGCGGGGAATCATTAAAGATCCTCTTTCTCTTGCGGCTGCCCGAGGCGGAGGCGGTGGCGGCGGCGGCGGCGTTGAAAGCGGAGACCGGGGGTTGGGGAAAGCCAAGTTTCGGATCCGGGACGGCGATGGCAACATGTCTTCCCGACACGGCCTCTTCCTCGTCAGCATAGCGACCCGTGGCTAGGAGGCGGCGGACTGGGTCCACCTTAGACTGTGGCGGCCGGTGCCAAGTTAGCGCAGGACGGCCAAACTTCTGCCGGCGCTTGCGACTGCCGCTACCTGGGGCACAGAGATCCATCATCAATCCTGTCCGCTCATCGAAGACCTCATCCTTCAGATGGCTAGGCGGCCACCGCCGGGTTGTGATCTGATGAGGTGGTGGTGGTGGTTGCGGTGCTGCTGGCGGTGTCTGACGGCGTTTCTTCAACCACGCCACCAACTCGTCGTAGAAGATGACGGCGTCATGGTCCAGCACCACATCTGGATGCTTGACCCACCTATCCCAGGCGAGTAGCAGCGAGGCTTCCTCAGCGGCATCCGGCAGGCGATCCTTATACTTAGAATCCAGGGTGATGCGATGGTAGAGGAATGCGACCATCGCTTTGAGGTCGTCCCAGTCGTAACGAAAGCCCCCCGGCTTGTGAGTGCCAGACAGGCCAAAGTCAATCACCACCAGCTTATCGGTATCTGGGTCGATAACGAGGTTCCGATCGGTGAGGTCAAGGTGGTGGATACCGTACTGCAGGTGCAGCTCGTCAAGCACGCCCATCAGCTCCTGGAGCCAGCGGAGCTTAAAAGGGCGTGACGGTGGCCAGCGGTCCATGGTGGGCGTGTCGATAAAACGTGTGGTGAAGCCAATCACACCTAAGCCGGTAAGCTCTTCCAAGACAATGCACTCCATGCTGATCATATGGGGGTGGTGAGCGGGTAGCTGGGCGAGGGTCTGGATCTCACACCATGGCGTCGGATGCGAGTACTTGAAGACGGCTGTCTTCTCGTCCCCCCACTGAGACGTCCGGTAGGTGACCTTGTCGACGAATCGCCCAAGCCGACCGGTCAGGGTAAGCTGTGACCGCAGGAGAGTGGGGAAAGGCCGTGCAAGTTGGTACTGGTGTATCGAGGGTTTATAAGGCTCCTGCACATCACAAAAATCCCCCTCCTGATCAGTAGATGTCCACAAGACCTTGCCTCTGTGGCCTAAGATGAGGGCGTGAGTGTTAGGTGGGAGCTCGTCCACCACGTCGCACAAAAAGCTACATATCGTGTGAGCTTCCGTCTCATCATCGCGGCAAGCCTCCTCAAAGGCAGATCTATCCTCCTCCTTTTCGAACAAGGGAAGGGGTTCTCCCCTCAAGTACAAGACGTCAAACGCACGGTTGGAGTCCGAGTCAAACCAAACCTCAACCCTGTAATTGTCGATGGAAGCCTCCTCATCACGCAACGCATTCAAGGCTTCGTCTCGCTCGGGCCCCGACCAGCTGTCGGAAAACCAGTGGAATCGGTAAAATGGCGTTCGGTCGAGGGTCAGCTTCGTCATCTTGAAGAACAGAAGGAAGAGAGAGAG